GAAAAATCTCGTTTTTTGAGTGATTACACGCGTGTAAAACAGAATGGGCGTGAAAACACTAAGATTCCGATTGTTTTTGGCAAAGAAACGCGAAAAATTACAAACTATCATTTCTTAGTATATAATCGCATAGAAAACCGATATTATTGCCGTGTACACGCTGACTTTCCCAATTGTGCGTGTTTTAAGTACAAACTCTTCAATGCTAAGTTCCAGCTATCTCGTCTTTATACTTCAAAGAAGCACACCTAGATTTTAAAAATTGATTCGGTTATCGGTCAGATATAAAAATGCTCACATAATCTTTACTTTGTGGTACTAATAAATTCCATTTTTGACAAGCTTTCATTTGATATAAAATTCGCTATAGACTCTCTGAGGGTACTATCAATTGAAATGATATATTTTATTGACATAATCGCACGAAATCATAAAAATAATGCAGTTTTTAAAAAAATGAATTTCAGCATTTTTCAGAGATCGATAAAATTTTTGGATTGAAACCAAGGATAGAAAAATGACGATTATACTTTTCGATAGAATAATCGATGCTCTATCTAATCATATAAAAAAAGAACCATTTTGAAACTTTACTGAAGTATGACAAAGAATACAAAAATGAGCAAAAATAAGTGAATCATACTGTACGATGCTCCGTTACATACTGACTTTTCGTCGGAAAATAAAAAGAAACCCAACAACGTGTGGCACGTTCTTTAATTCTACAAATGAATTATGTGGTCAAACTTACTCAACAGATGCGAACAGAAGACTCACGATATCTTCAATTACTTGAACGACTCCGTCAAGGCCAGTGTAATTATGAATTATTATTGACGCGCGTTGTGGGACAGCCAACCGTATCTCTTCGTGAACCGCCATGGAATCAAGTAAAATATATTTCTCTACTCTAAATAAACACGTATTTTCTCTGTTTTTCTTTGTTTTAGGCTCCCATGCTTGTATTTAGAAATGAAATACGAACGCAATTGAACCACAGATCAGCAATTCATAATGCAGTAGAAGTCGGTACTGTAGGTATTATCCAATATGTGCAGATTCTACATATTGGAATTATCCTTATAGTGTTGGAACATTTCTCTGTTCGTTGTCTTTTACATATGCGTGTGGTTCTTTCCCTCCTCTTATATATGTATGGGATGATTCCTTATCGTGATCGTATATAT